CTCACCGCCTCCTCGAGTTTCAACTAAGCCTCATAATTTAACAAGTTGTTTGAAGGTACAAGGTTTGTTTTCCTGCTGGTTGAAAGAGACGCAACACAACCAAAACAACTTTTTTTTTCAAATTATTTTTATTATTATTATTATTGCTAAAGTCAGTATTGTCAAACAAATCAAATCACAACAACATTTAGGCAAGGTGCAAAAAAAATAAAAAATAAAATAAAAAATAAGAAGGTGGTTATAGGTGCAGATCATTAACTTGTCGATCCATAGCTTTCCAACTTAGACTGAATTGCAGCACAAAATAAGGTGGCATGTGAGAATGGCAGCAAAAAAAAATCTTTGATTAAAAAAAACAAACAAAAAAAACAATCTGAAGCTCAATAGAAAAACTGATCAGTTCTGCAGCAGAAACCGACGTGTTAAAGGTCAACACTCTCACTGGCAGACAAACTAAGTGATACAAACAGATTTCAAATCCTCAGAAGCTCTATAGCTCTTTGAGCCGACGGCCACTCACCGATCTATAAAGCACCACAGCAAAAGTTACTGTGGTGTAAAACACTCGTACTATATACAGGCTTTTCTCTCAATGTCCGGACGAGAGGCGCCGTCTCCAGAAACAGAGTCGTGATCAAGTCGAAATAGTTACACTGATGTTACCGTCTGCGATGATGACAACAAGGATTACATAAATCATAATTAGGCATGGGTCTGTTTCTGGGTACTGAGGTATGTTGAGGTTTTAAAAACCTACGGTTTCATCATTCATCATCCTGTTTCACGCCGTTAATGTCTTTTTAATGAGGTGCCAGAGGAAGCGTCGTCATTGTGCCCAGAGTTTTTTTTTTTTTTTTCCCCAGCTGTGAGGAGCATGCAGTCGAAGCATGAAGCAACGCCACTCCTCTTTCTACACACTGCTGGAAGGAAGGAGCTACTCTTTACTTTTGCTTATATGCAAAAAAAACTAATTTGGACATCTGAAAATATTCCCATGTGCAAAAAAAAAAAACCCACAAAAAAAACCACAGTAATATTTATCAAGAAGCCGACAGGCAGAGCAGATAGCCTGACTAATTAACAAGGTTCTTATTCTATAAACGACAGGGAAGAAAGAAAGGGCAACTACAACTAAATTTAGGTGTTGTTTATGCAATTAAAAGACTAATAATTGTCCCATATTTAAAATAATAAATGTTACATAGACATAACTGTAATAATCAATATGTTACATTCCAGCAGTAGTACGTATAATTTGTACGATTCTGTTTTGGATGATGTTTAATTTTTTTTTTTTTTTTTTTTTTTTTTAATCTTTTTACTTAAGGTCATACAG